AGTTGAACCTGATCAAATACGAGCTTTTTGTTGTCAGTTTGGAAGAGCTGATAATATAGTTTGCCATGGTTGGGGCTACAAAATACTCAGATGATGTAGCATTTTGCCATCTGACAGGCACGAACAGTTCGTAATAATTGATCAAGTAACAATCTGGACTCTAAATATTTCTAATTCATTGCATATTATCGCAATAAACTTGGCGAACATTGATCAAATGATCCAGTCAGTCGTCCAACGGTTTTGTTTCGAAGTTTTGCGATTTGAAGGAAAAGCTTTTTTAAGCTTCTGGACATAATAAGCCTGAACTTTTCAAGTCTAAGAGATGTTTATACTGCTGTTGTGTTAATGTGTACTGACATCCCTGTACGAAGTCAATAGCTAGTATTGTTAGATAGGGGTTAGCGTGATTTCGTTAGACGACCTATATATAATCACTCAATGAATGTCATTTGTGTACTTTATCGTGTCATGTAAGCTCAGGTTATTGTTTCTATGTTGGTCATCCGTCCACCAATATCATCAGTCTCTGTTTCCACTTAGTCTACCATGGTTCGCCTAGTGTTACGATACTAACAGCTTAGGTTTACGCTTATCATTTTTTAAATGTAATACCGCCTTTTGGAGTCATGTACAACATGGTTTAGCATAGCATTGGTAAATGTTCTCTAAAGAATAACCCAACCCGAAAAGATCAGGCTTCAAATTTCAGAGATAAAAGATGTCTTTAGTTTCAGACAACAAACAGACTATAATTAATAGAGCGTACCTTTTCCGTATGTGTTACAAAAACAGAATAGGGCTGTCATAACAGTCCGTACTGGCGAAAGTCAATTATAATTGAGAGGATTAGGTGGCTGTAATTTTAGGTGCCCAGTTCTTATGTTGCAAGCTCGAGGTCTATATAGTTTGTTTTGAACAAACAATATCGTTCGCAATACATTTGGCTAGTAGTAGCATACGTGACCGGACTTGTCGATCTGGTTACTTGGGCTTATTCCAGTTTCCCGTATGTTGTAGGTCCCATTCATGCTGTATGTTACCAGAATGTCATGCATTTGATTTAGTTATTAAATTACCTAGCTGTTGTAAAGAAGTAACACAGCCACTCTTCTGTCGTTCTGGAACTTCTCGGAGTTCCCAAACCACTTCTGCGTAGAAATCTAGTAGGTTATAGTTTTCAGTCTAGTATCAGCCTAAGTTAGTCTAAAAAGGCCAAGGTTGGAGACCTTAGATGACATGGCTCAAAATCGTTTGCAATGGCGCAGGTGCATCCACTCTGTGTTCCCCCAAACCCTAATCTTCTGAATCCTTCATATCCCTTTTTTCCTCTTTCCAAATTTATTTCACTGGATTCTCCCGGAATAACATCTTCAAACGCTAATGTTCCCGATTGCTGCCTCTACCACTATGGCATTTGAATTGACAATTGTATATTTGTGCTAATGTGGCATGGCGACTCGAACTGATGTACGTACGTAAAAAGTTCTACGTTGTTGACTGAAAAGGCCAAGGAACTAGATCATCCGGCCAGTAACAGCGGTTTGATTAGTCAAGATATCAGTCGTAGTCCTAGGTTTCGTGACTCAGTTCAACTGGTATCAATCTTTGTAGTTCGGAATACCAATCTTGCTAAATATCTCTTGATCAGCAGTTTCTAAGGTTTTGGTCATCGACTAAGTGTCGTACCGAATTGTGAGTCTACTTATAGACATCGGGCGATAGCCCTCTCCCCTATCTTGAAGACAATTAGTGACTGATAGAAAGTCCCTGTAAGTAATGTAACAGTAAAATAAGATCGTTCGATAACTCATGGTCAGATTTATGTGTAGATATGCAGTCCATAAGATAGCTTATTGGCATCTGGAGTTGACCATGATAAAGATGCGTTATTTCTTTTTTCTCTGGTTATTAGCACATTATTTTTCTGTGCCTTTTGCTTTCCCTCTTGTTGAGCTGATGTGAATTATGGTGGCCTGAATCAATGTATATATTTGCGAGGCTGTAATCTGTCATTGTCGTCAGCTCGACAAGAGGAAGAATTAAAATAATAATCTGACAAATCTACAGAAGTAAAACCCTGTAGAAATAATGAGCAATACATTGTTTGAGAATATACCAAGGCTAAAAGCCTTCTCACAACCACAAATTATTTGACTGTCTTATAAGTCTCAACCAGGGAGATTGTATTTCTATATAAAACTGGAGCAATAGATATACGTAATCACTTCTCATCGAGATTTTCATGAGCTTCTTGGAGAATGCATGTTTGTACCCGCTGACATTTGTCGCATATTTCGACCTACTTGTGCTACATGACTGTATGTGATTCTAGACCCGCCTAAATCTATTAGGTTACTAGTGTTTGTGAATTTCTGACATATCACAATCTGGAAGAATAAGACTATTAATATCCAAGCGTAGAGTTCTAGGTAGGTAGAGTAGTGTAGCCGTTAAAGTTAGTATACATTGCCTGAGGCGGTTGAGGAATGTTCAGCTCACATCGCACCACTAAATAATGAGATTTAAGGAGGGTTGACAATAGCCTAGAGCTGAGGACAATTTTTGGTCTACGATAAATTGACGGAAGGCTTAGAGATACAATACACCTGAATTTAGAGTAACTAAGTAATGTATATTTTTATTTTAACACATAGATATTGGTACAAGGAGGCACCAAATACGTCTGCGCCACACAAATCTCATTCGATATGTGTGAGGGCTGTGATGCTGCCCGGGTGCCCAGACCGAAGCAAGTAGTTTTCTTAGGAGGCCACTCCCCGAAGGTCTGATCCACAAGGCAGTGGAGCATCGTAAGGAGATGCAGTCCCATGGAAGCCATTGACCGAAAATTGGTTCATACGCCATTTGTTCCCGCAGGATACTGGAGCCCATGTGCACCATTGGTTTGGAATCCGGTTAAAGCGCCGGACATTCGTTTTCCATCCTCTCATTTTCGTAAACAACACCCCCGCCACGAGGCAGTGAGTAGGACTTCCCTGACGGAGGCTATATACGCGTGGCCATGTGAGAGCATTTCGAGAGGGAGAGCGGACTCTCCCCACTCTCTGCCGTACCAGGGCATTTGGGGGCACTTACGGGAACTACTAAGTAATGTAGTCCCTGTAAGTACATTACCGTCATTCACATATTGGCACACTAATTCCGAACTATATTGTTTCTACTGACTGTCTAATTGAAGTTCACACAATGATTGTCACCGTAGGCGACATGACGCTGAATTCAATCTTTATTTCCACTTAAATTGAGAATTTCAAGTCTTCCACATGCTTTGTTTTGCGAATCTCTTCTCCATCTTCGAAGCATTCTCAGTATTAAATCTTTCCTTATCATTATTATTACTACTACCTTTACTTCAACTACTTTGCTATTCATCTTTATCTTGCTGAGTTGATGTCATATGATAACATGAGCTGATGGACATATGTAGCCGGTCGTATGTTGATTACGACTGACTGAAAAACTGATCTAAAAATAGTCAATCTAAACTAAGCAGCATTGCGTCAGTCAAAAGCAACATAGAGCCTGGTACATCAGCTAAATTTGTCATACCCCATTGCATAGCGAGATGAAATTGTCAGGGTAAATCCCAGAGTAATAGAGGTAGTAACATATTGCTGGTAATAAAAAAGATTAGGCATCGAAGATGAGGTTAGAAAATGTATAAACTAGTGCGACAGAAAGAAGTCATGAATTTAGATACAGGCTTTAAGGGAAGACAGTGAATGCACGCTCACCGTTGCGAACGGTTCAGATCGGTGTCATTCAAAGTCTCTAACCATTGGTTACGATAACCACCATGACCACAACCACATAGTCTGCATCTATTTACAATTTCCAGTTCAACAGTAATTGATTTCATGGAGTGATACCAAGTCATCGTTTTACAGTCTCAAGTTTCCTCCTAACCCACTCATACACCTGAAAACATCGTCCATCGAAGTGGGCAGTGTTTGAATAACTATAATGCATGTAACACCTACTTCAATTGATTATTATTTACTACCTCACCAACCGATTTGTCACCTTTATCTTGTATCCATAACCTCAGCAATGCTTCGAGGGCATCTATAGTCATAAAATAATAACCTACGAATATAATAAATGCCATGTTTCACAACCACAAAGTAAGGTGGAGTGAACTACTGTTGTTAGCGGGACATAGACTAGATTAAAGCATGCTCAATGCATGATTGCTTTGGTGCACGCTGATTGGCTAATTCTTATCCAATCAGCACTAGTCGATAGTTGGAGAATATTCTGGAATCTTCTTATGTAAAAACTATAAATATACTGACGTTTTTCCCTATTGTGCTTCTGACGTGCTTCTTACTTCCGTCTAACCTTGTTATTTGGAATATAATCTCTTTCCTGTTCAACCGTGTTTTGATTTGGGGACTTGTCGAGTGAATCGGTGTCCGAGAATACTAAGCAATAGGAATAGCTGGGTCATTACCGTAAGAGAGAGAGAGAGTTATAACAACTGTACATTAAGCTTGTCCTTTAGTTGGCAAATGGATATCTAGCTTACACTATAAGTTATGCAAATTGAAAAAAAACCAGCCTGAATTTTTGAATCCGTGACCAGATTTCGTCAGACGCCAACCCATATGAGCTGATGAGACTTCCAAGATAAGTGAAGTAATCAACAAATTCAACTACTTCATTCATTATCACCGGTTTAGATGCTGACGCGGAAAGGTTCTGAAGTAAAATTTTGTATTTGGAATGAGAGAAACGCATCCTAAACATCCTTGCAACGTTGCTTAAGACGGTCAGAAAACTACACTTATCCAGGGTCTTCAATAAACAAAAATATACCATTTGTGTATTCTAAGTTGACAAGAGAATCTCATAGTAGAAAATTGATTCCTGGTAAGTCAGATGATAAGAATGTTATTTCTAAATGAATGCCTATGACAACACATTTACAGTAACGATAAACTAGAAATATTACTAATTAAAGAAAAGAGATACGATTTGCAAAGATTGATTTATTAAACATGAGAACATAATTGAAATAGAGAACTCTTTTTTTAGGGAATCTTGGACTCTAGTGCTATTTTTGCTCGAGTAAATGCTGAAACAAATGCACCCAATTGTAATCTTTCTGATGCTCCTTGTGACATACGATTTTCTATATCGGATAACGCAATTAATAAATCACAGCGTATTGCATCCGGCAAATCAACTAAATATCAATTGAGAAAATAATTGAAAAGTGAACAGAAATTCTACTACAATGAAATGTCGAATAGATATTGTCAGAAAAACTAAGTGTTCATGATATCAATATAACTTCAATGACGAAATCGGATGGAATGCCGAATAGGTTAGGTGATAACACATTGACGTTTGAAGAGATAGGTACCCAATTCCAGTCTCGATGTGAATATGTACATACAACTGATGAGTCTCAGCTAAGACAAGATGTCTGTTAACCAAATAGCAAATAGACTAAAGCTTGTAACTAAATGCTATATCAAGTAAATCTGCCCAAGATGTGCATATGATTTAAGAGATTGATAGCAATTGCAGTTGTGAATATCAACAAACGGGCGATAGAAATTTGAAGCTTAACTCTGTAGCCGTAATGAGTAAAACGTTCTGTCAACTAGAATTGTTAACGTTTTTGTAATAACAATTAGGAATACTTGACTGTACATGATTTTCATTGGGATAGATTAATCTTCGCCAATAATTATAGCCAAGATTCTCAACATTCATTGGCCGGATACCATCAGCAATAGCCTTTTGTGGGAGAGAACAAACCAACTTCCAGCTGAAGAAGAAATTAGGAAAAGACGATGGAAATGGACAGGACATACATTCCGCAAATCGTCAAACTGCATCACGAGGCAAGCCCTAACTTGGAGTATGAAGGGAAGCGGAAAAGAGGAAGGCCAAAGAACACATTGCGTCGGATAATAGAAGCAGATATGAAAACGATGAATTACAACTGGACGGAGCTAGAAAGGATTGCCCAGGACAGGGTTGGATGAAGAACGCTGGTGGTTGGCCTATGCTCCTTCACGAGGAGTAACAGGCGTAAGTAAGTAAGTAATAATTATAGCGCTTTATTGATTATTACAGATGGAGCTAACATATAGGATTTATCAAAAAGATAAGGTTAGATAACCAATTAAATCTGGATTATATTAACAAGGATTACAAATATTCAAAAGAAATGTTATGTTGACATTTTTAGTTGGCTACGCTCTAATCGGTAAATCCTGTTAATCACTGGCAAGGACTAACCGAATACACTTCCGGTTAAAAATGCAATATGGTAACATTAGTTAACAGATATTTGTTCCAGGTTCTGCTCTACAGTAATAATGATTGACTGATTTCTAGTCAAGAAGTAATATATAAGCTAAAGGGATTACATCAGATTATTGACAATTTTTTACAAGGGAGAAACTGATTTATTTTCTAATTTGGTGAAAATATTAGATATTAAGTGATTAGAGGTAAGTGTCAAGAAGCTTTTTTCCTAAATTTGGAGTCATTTAGCACTCATCAGTCAGTGATACGTATTCCGCAGCCTATAGGTCATTGATGTTTTTTGTGTGCAGTTTAAGCCTGTATTCAATGATTAATTTGGTGCTATTTGGACAATTGTTGATGACATACCGATTACGGCAAGCCGTGATTGGTTGACAAGAGATATCCGGCTATACTGAACATAAAAAATCATTTTATATGTAAAACTGACTTCACCTGGTCCCGCTCTGCATCCATTTGCTAACTGCTTTGTATTGCAACAAAAGGCTGTTGTTCTGGACTATATCTGGTTCTTGATTGCTAGGTGGATAATTTAATATCGTGTATTACGTGACCGAGTATTGTGACTTAATAATCTATCGACCTAGTACCACTTTTGGTGTTTAGCTCTACTTATCAAGTATGCATTGTGGAACCGCATCAAACGCTAGGATCGCGATTCCAAACCTTTTTATTTTTTCGTTCTAATAGTTTGCAAATGAACCAGTTTTAAGTAGTTGTGTGGTATGTGCTACTGATGTCAACAGATATAAGTAGCATGTATCATCAATCGCAAGTTAGATGTATGGCGGCAGAAGGACAAGAAGATCGAAGAAAAAAGAAAGAAAAACAGAGTGATCGGCGTGGAAACGAAAGAACAACTAAGTCCGAGACGACTGATTGATATTTTGCAAATGAAATATTTACTGTATGGTTCTCAGATTTTACCAAGAGATTATGTAATTTTGTGTCGAGATACATTCCATTGTCCCCACTATCTTTATTTATTTAAAAGCATAAACATTGGTACAAGGAGGCGCCAAGTAGATATGCGCCACATAAATCATTCGATTTGTGCGAGGGCTGATATACTGCCCGGGTGCCCACACCGAAGCAGGCGGTTCTCTTAGAGGGCCACAGCCGGAGCCTTTGACCTAAAGGTCTGGTCCACAAGGCAGCGGAGCATCGTAAGGAGATGAAGTCCCATTGTAACCGGTGGCCAACAATTGGTTCATACACCATTTATTCCATAAGGATACTGGAACCCATGTGCATCATTGGTTTGAAATCAGGGTTTTCTAACTACACTAGTTGAACTCTGCGTGTCCACCAACCCGGTTAAAGCGCCGGTGTTTCGCTTTTTGTCCTCTCAATCTCGTAAACAACAAATTCGCCGCGAGAAGGCAGTGATTACATGTGGTCATATGAAAGCGTTTCAAGAGGGAGAACTGACTCTCCCCATTTGTGTTCTAGTTCACTATAGTTGTTCATTATCTTCTGTAGTCATTGTGATCTGTCATCAAAACCACTCGTAACCTAAATGTATTTTAAAATACCTAAAAAGAATTCTCTTCATGCTATAGGTAAGAGGTAAGTTACATGACGTTATCGACATGATCAATGGAGCTTAACGTTCAAAGGACGAAACTAACCAGGTATTCTAACATATACATATTATCCTTGTATTATATCTAACTTAGATTTTGTAATAGTTAAGATAGTAATGTTAACTGAAAATGTATTGTATTTCATACACTACACTATATTGTACATGCATATATGTGCCTGGTCCCACGTTGTAACTGACTGACTATAGTGTACACACAGGACTTGTTTAAAAAGTTGAAGATTGTTGGGGGGGGTAAAGATATTTGGTTACTAGACAATATAATTTAATATAAAAAATAACAAGGAAACTTACTACGCATTATCAATGGATGAATTTCTGTAATTATATCTTGCAATGCAATTCCTTTCAAATTTTTTACTGTTGTAATATCTAAAAATATATGAATATGATATAATATAATATGAATGTTTGCTCTTAGTAAGTTATTTGTACTTTAGAACAAAAATGATCATTAACTTAAAGTATAATTGATCATATTCAATCCGAAGTAATGTGTAAACATATCTGAACGTGTTCGCTAGTCGATACAAGAATACGAAGAATTTGTAGTCCCGAAGTCATGGATACAGAATCGGACCTCTTGAAGGAGATACTTACTTAAAAAAACAGCTATCCTTCGATATTCTTTGATAAGAATATAAAACCGAAAACACAAATAATTACAGTAGAAAAGAAAACTTTATGCATGAACATCGAATTCAAGGGTGACAGAGAGCCACATACATCTGAAAGAGGAGAATTTCGAATTCTTTAAAAAGAACATTCTTCGCAGCAACATTGTGAATAGTATTCTCCAATCGATCATTGTTCACCAATAATCTTAAAGATAAATTACTGCATCTGATCAACTCAATGGGCATTTACCAATTTACTTGCTTATATGGAGCTAGGTATATAGGTCGTTCGATGCATAGTTTATCAAAAAGGAATTCAAGAATATTATCCGGCGTGGCTAAAAGGAGGAGGAAACGACTCAATAAGAAGTTCAATAATCGAACACCTTATGAACACAGGTCACTCAATCAGGACAGACTTTGTGTTCAAAGTCATTCGCAAGGTAAGTAGAAGTCTTCCAAAGACAATTAGATTGCATCTCCTTTGCATTGCTGAAGCAATAGTCATACATCTGGAAAAACCAGAGTTGTGTGTACAAAAGAGACTGGTACAACCTCTTCTTCTACCATGGTCTTAATGTTTCATAATTTTTTTCTCTCTTCATACTCTACTTCCTTTACAGCCATCTGTTTCACCTACCATCTTCCCCTTACATCTTCTACCCCCCCCAACTGGTTTATTTGTTTCTACGATCATCCTGATTACATATAATCCTGGAGTTTTGTTCTCTGAGCTGGAAAAGAACTCCATCGAAATCATTCAGCTGAGCTACAAATCTTCTCCATCATCTCAAAATCATACATTTCATCTCAATTTTAACATTTTATCTTATCATGCTGAGCTATCCTTTCCCAATGATAATTTCCCTATCTATCATTTGATGAATACTTCAGCCATTATCAATCGAACGATTATTAAACTTTCCTTGTTTTCTAAAAGAATTTTTTAATAACTTTGTTTATTTAACCTCACTGTCAACATGTCTAACAGAAGTTTATTATCAGTACTATTATCATCCTGTAAAAATAAGTATATATATTTGCGATTGTACAGTTTTAAAGATGAATTCGCCGAAAAGAGAATTCTTCGCTGAACTAATCTTTTTTATTTCAACGTGATCTGTTAGATTTCCTTCTTGTTGAAATTGATATAATTTGATAACTGATTAGTGGCTTATTGATTGGGGCGCTTAACTTTCAACCATTAGGTTGTACGTAGGCGTCACATTGCACCTCTTTCGGTTCGGGCAGTTGGATAAGGTCACTAACCCTTATGTATAAAATGTGACTCAAAGTGAAGTACGTGAATCTGTACTTGATAAGATGCATCAATGGCTGAGTATATGTTCATGTAATACCAGGCTTTACGTCACACTTATTATGGGGATAATAAGACATTTTAGCATAATATATCACCAAACTATCCTCGATATTATCTGATTTTATCACATCCTCTAAAGAAGCCATTCAAAGAGATGCAACTGAGAAAATGGGACAGATGTTAACTAGAATCCTAAGGAAGAAGAAAAATGAGTTTATTATTAACTGTCACCTCTATGAACACCTTAGACTATCGTATTCCTTTATACCAAGACTGTACGGCCTCGCAAAAGTTCATAAGAAAAATATGCCCCTATGTCCTATACCTGATATGAGTTATTCTCCATATCATTTGATTATTAAATGGTTAGCTGAGATTTTGGAACCCGGCAAAAATTACATTAAAGGGTAAAACTCTTCTGATTCAATTGATTTTGTCGACGCAATTAGAAATATCAATGCAAATGATAGAAAACAGATCTTATTGAATGTCACTTCTCTCCTTACAAACGACTACATTGAAAATAACAACTTTGAAATTTGTGTCCCAAAACATATTTCTATGATGCAGTCTCAATAGAAAATTTAGACTTGATAATGATTTCTACAGACAAACTGATGGAGCTGCAATGGGTTCACCATTGGGTCTCCTCTTGGCTGATTGTTTCATGGACAATATCAAAAATGCGGTATTTCGACCAATAATTGATATTTCATTTATATAAGAGATATACGGATGATACTTTCATTATTTGTGAAGAAGATATAGATCACAATGATATTTAGGATTGGTTCAATATTTGTCATCACTCAATTGAATTCACACTGGAACCGGAGGCGAACGAGAAATTTCATTATCTTAGTGTACGGTTAGAAATAAGGTCAGATGGTTTTTACAGAGACCTATGTATAAAAAACCGACCTGCAATGTTCGGTATACGAAATTTCATAGCTGGGTCCCCTTGAATAGGAAGAGAAACTTAATTCACTCTTTACCCTCTAGGGTTAAGCGAATATGTTATAATGGCACAATACACGATGAACTACTTCAACTTCGGTAGACACTCATCAGAAATGGTTATCCACCTAGTTTTGTCGAGAGGAAGTTACCACCCACACAACATCCGGAAAAAGCACCAGCAGTTCAGAAGAAAATTCTGTATGTATATCGAATTTAAAGGGGATACTGCTGCCAAAATCTTGAACAAATGGATTTCAAAGTCCTGAAAAAAACCTTCTGCTTAGTCCTTCATTGTTTTCTCAAGCCGGCCTACTATTCATGTATGTGTTAAGGATTAACTTCTATTTTGAGCCACATCGATGTGCATCTATGAATTTGCTTGACTATGTTATCTGAAGTGGCTGCGAGACATTACACATGAATGGGAAATACTAGCTACAGTATAGAAGTTTTTGAGTGGTAAGACACTAATGTATTGGATCTTGTACAACTGGTTTTCGTAGTATAGGGGAATTTTCTATCTTAACAATTTGTTTTTACTGATTTCGTCGACTGCTATGTTTAGTTATTTAGTTACATCTTGGATTATTTTCGCATTTTATTTACGACTAATTTGGAATTCTCATCTATTTGATGTCGATATAAGAAGCAATGAGTTTCCTGTTTTGAGTATGATATCTGTTCAACATAGACAGATTTTTACTCGCGATATTGAGATGGAGTGACTTTTTGATATTTGTAACTACTAAACAACATCACAAATGATCAAATACAATAAAGATTGATACAGTTATCGAGGCAACTTACTGTGATAAGCAGTACTGATCGGTTCATTCAGTACATGATCCAATAGCGATCGAACCTCAGCCGGTGAAGGATATGCAACACAAGCATAGACAGAAGGTCCGTCGACAGTTTTTGAAGACATAGATGTACTCTTCATGGATTGGAGATAAATGATGAACATAAGGAATATTTGAGTCAAATAAACCATGATAAGAACATATTACAAGAAATCTCTACAAAAATATCTGTATTGTGTAATAAGTAGTTGGTACGCCAGTTGTGTAAATTGTTGTAAGTTTCGAAATATCTTATAGTGGCCCGATATCTGATTCTGATTTGGGCGAGCAGATCAATAAGCCATGAATATTAATCTCCGATTTAATTCTCTATATTACACCTAGGCTAATACCGTTTGAACGACGGGGGTACTATGAAGTTGAACACGGATTAAGTTGGATGAATTTATTTCAGACATTCATTTACTACAACATACGTTAAGATAAGACGTAGGAAAGAGAAGCAGAGAAGACAAGTGTGTCAACTTTTGCTACTCATTACAAACCGTAATATAGCTTAAACCAGAAAATGCGTAGTATGACAAAAGACATTGAATAAAATGGATGACGGACAAACACGAGACGCATAAGCGTATAACTACAAGGATATCAATATAAGACTTATGTATGCTGAAGGTCACAACGTCCTATGAAAAGAATAGTTATTATGACAGTAATAATTACTCAGCAGTCCCATTTTATCTAGTACTGTGTGCTAAGCCTTCGATTTCATTGGTTATGATCCTAGAGGCTTCTATTCTGTGAATTGGTTGCCAACACACTAAACGGGCGATGAAAGGTATGGTTATCGTGACACTGGACGGTGTGATGGAGGATAGTTGAAGTCATTGATACTTTCTAGGTTCGCTAAGACTATGGATGAAATACTACAGACCCTGTAGCTCAGCAATAGTAACATTATTATGAATATAACCAAAAAAATCAGCATAAATTATTTTTTGGATGTGAGATGGATGACTTAGTTGTGAAGCTTTCATTATTCCACAAACCTACACCTCAAAGTATAAGTTAAAGTACGCCACTCTGAATCAAATCACTCGGAGATAATACGTAACTGTGCAAAACCAAAGATGAGGCGAAGTTTAGGCATATAATCTTACAGCTTAAATCTGATTGGTTTAATTGTTGAACTACTACTTTATTATAAAACTCAGTGTTTGTGAAAGCTACCAGTCATGGTGATTACAGTTGAGATTTTACATTGCGCTCTCCATAGACGGTCAAACGTAGTCAATACAACTTAGATCAGCTAAGTCCATATCTGAACTACACACTTATGATTACAAGTTTTGTTTTTTAAATGACTCTCCTATATCCCTTCACAATATGGTAATTTGTTTCTTATGATAAATTTCTGAATGTTTTGTAGTACTAATTTTAGTGTTAGAAATAAGTAACTAACCGTATCCTACTAGTATAAAAGTTAATTCACTCATGTAATTAAATTAAAATCGATGGGGTTGATAACAGGAAATTAAAATGTTTCGCAGTATCACTCAGAGTTGATATGTTGGACCGGGAACTCATAGTCAACTTAGAACCTGACATGTGTACATCGGTTTAATTTTCCATACCCAATAAGCACAGAGAGATGAATTCCAAAGTAGTAGAACTAGTAGCAGTACCAGTAGAGAAAGATAATTATAGAAAGAATAAAAAGAAGTATACGATTTCGGGACTCAGGATCTTGGACACACAGAGTGAATGGACACATGCCATTGCGAACGACTCAGATCAATGTCCTTCAAAGTCTCTAACCATTCGTTACGATAATCACCCTGACCACAACCACATAGTCTGCATCTATTTACAATTTCCAGTTCAACAGTAATTGATTTCATGGAGTGATACCAAGTCATCGTTTTACAGTCTCAAGTTTCCTCCTAACCCACACATACACCTGAAAACATCGTCCATCGAAGTAGGCAGTGTTAGGATAACTATAATGCATGTAACACCTACTTCAATTGATTATTATTTACTACCTCACTGGCCGATTTTTCACCTTTATTTTGTACCCTGTCCCTAAACTCAGCAATATTCACTTATTGGTCCCAAAATACGATAGCGATACTTTGAACACATCTATGATTAAATACTAGTAACCTGTGAATACACTGTTTTTAAACGCTATATTTTAGTCACAAAGTAGAACAGACTGAACTCGTTCCACACTGGAGGACGGGCAATTCACCTGTGCTACAATTAATGGAAGTAAGAAAAGCCCGAGTTTTTGAAATTTATGCCCAACTTTCGTCAAATACCAACTTAGTGTGGCTGGTGAGGTGGTTGACACACTCAACTACCTTACTCCCTATCATTAGTTCAGGTGTATACGCACACCAGTCCTGAAGCAATAGATCATGTTCGAGGATAACGCTTAAATGTCCTCACAATATTGATCGAGACAATCACAAGACTGTATTTTTTTCGTTGTCTTCACACAGAAAATAATGTTAGTGCTCTATAAACATGAGGAAGTTCGGTTAAACTATAATTTATGGACGAACCAATCAGTTTTAGAATAAGGTTTTGGATTTTGGCGCAAAAGTCATCCATTCATTTGGTTAGAGAGAATTTTGGCATTTAAGCTATCAGTTCGTGATGGAAATCCCAAACGTAATTCCTGACCCTTACAATCAACTGCAAATTATAAGCTCTAGTAAGTAGGTGAACATTCCCAAAGCCACTTCTGCGTTGCTCAAATGTCGTCCATGAACTACAATCTCACAGGAAGTTCTACAGCAGCGTCTTCCTCTAGTTGCTTGGTTTCTTTGAATTTAATGCAACCTAAGCAGCACAAAAAGACATCACTGGTGGGATTCTTATGTAACACAATAGTTAAGTCTGGTTTACGATAAAAACACTACACTCTCTAGGTGATTTCAGTATGACATAAATAACGGAGAACCTACTACGTGTGAATGAAGATACATCCAGGATCAATCTGAAATTTGGTAGTTATCTTTCGCTATGTATTTAACTAACAAAATAACTGGGAACGTATTTATACATAGATTACCTGTAATAAGTTGATAGATTTACGCATATCCCCAGATGCAAACTGATAAATTGCTTTTACTCCATCGTCTGTTAAATCGACGCTAAACAGGAATAAGAGAGACTTTTGTTTACCCTTCATTTGATGCAATTTTTCGAAGACACACACTGACATCATTGAAGGGCAGTGGTGCAAAACGGAACTTGGTGCACCGTGATTGGATTGCAGGGATAATTTTCGACAAGTAGTTACAAATTAGACAAAACCGGGTGTTTTCCGTAAATTTTTCGATAACTAAAACATATGCGAAAACACAGAGTTACTTCTTCGAAGTGCATTTTGAGCGTCTTTTGTCATGGAATCAGCTTCGTCTAGAATAACCAGCTTGAATTTTCCACTAGAGAGTTTGTATAAAAATGTATATCTTACGCGAAGAGAGTTTTCGTGCTGGCGAAACTCAGTACTTGTTCACGAACAACATCAATCCCCCGATCATCGGAAGCATTAAGCTACAACTATATTATAAATCTAAACACGTACCTCTAAAACCATGGATGCAAACTGACGAGAGTACAAACGCTTTGCGGCAGCTAGGATAGTGCTAGTTTTTCCCGTTCCCGGTGGACCATAAAACAGTAAATGCGGTAGCCTGTCATTATCAATAAATCTCTTTACTACAACAGCAGTTGAATTTAATTAGAAATACTAGTTTTTGATATGTCGTCATGACTTATAAGATCTTCTATCGAGCTCGGTCTGTACTTCTCAATCCTGAAACAGAACTCCAGTTTTATCCACAAAATACCATGGTATTTCCATTGCAATCCGCTAGGATTTCAAAAATACACAGTGGCGCACAACCTTTGATGGTGGTGCGATAAAAGTTGTCGCAACCTCAAGTCTAAACTTGCCACTTTGTTCAGCAGAATCAGAGAGGTGACCTTATACTGGCATTCCGTATCTTTGATTATGATTTGGGTGTTAATATGTCATCTTTTTGCTACCTCCATCACTAATAATCTCCGAGGTCATAGCAAGAATGTTCACAAACAGCGATCCAACAAACTTAAAGTGGGGTCCCGTTTTTATCATCGAGTAGTCAGCGACTGGAACGCCTTACCCGAACAAGTGGTATCAGCCCCATCAGTGAATATCTTCATGGAGAAACTGGACCTTCACTGGAAGGCAATCTATCAGAATTAACACAGGTTCACTAGCCTACCAGCCTTATTACTGAGGACTGAAGGCAGACTGAAGACTGAAGACTTTCCATTGTCTTCCCAGTAAATACCCTTATCTGTATTTTTAAACAAGATAACTTCCTCTGTGAGATCAATAATATCATCAGAAAGCTTGATCTGTTATCTAGAGACGAACGCTTTGATATGTTGAATTCCTTCAGGAATGAAATTTAAGGAAAACTCATTTTATGAGCTCTTATGATGATACGTCAAAGTGAACAGTTCATGGTATCTCGGATTGCAGGAGGTAATTTAAAAAAGGATTGATTTGAAGGATTCCCGTCTTTCTCATCGAGTAGTCAATGACTAGAACGCCTTACCCGAAATACGTGGTATCAGCTCCATCAGGGAATACTTTCAAAGATGAACCTTCACTGAAAGGCAATCTGTCAGGATTGATGCAGGTTCACCAACCTACTATTCTTATTGCTGGAGACTGAAGACTGATGTCTAATCCTAGGGAACTTTAATGCACCCATGGTAAACTGGGAAAATCTGCGAACTGAATTGTCAGATAATTCTTCCAGTGGGAAATAGTTGATGCGGTTACCACATGTACCTTAGTGAAAAATGTGAAAGAAGCGACTGGGTATGACCCGGACTCTGAATCATCCTTACTAGATCTTATATTGACACATTATGAGGATGACGTTACGAACGTTACTCGATTACATGTCACCCCTAGGTAAAAGTGATCATGAAGTTTTAAGCTTTGACTCCCATATAATTGTCAAAAGTGAGAGCGCGTCAGCTCAGTCCATATCTAACGTCTGGAAAGCAAACATACAAGATATCATATGCTCAGCATCGTCATTAGACTGGCCAATAGGCCCAGAGTTCTCAATTGAAACTGCTTGGAACATATTTTGGAATTTATACTTGAAGGTTGCCGCACCCCATATCCTTTGGACCACACCAAGAGGGGCGAGGTGTAGCCTACATTGACTTCATCAAAGCTTTTGACAAAGTTCTGCAAAATTGGCTGTTATATAAGCTAAGAAAAGTCGTGATCAGATGCAATTTATTGATGTGGATGAAGGAATTCCTAGTTGAGTGGCAACAAAGAGTACAGATGAACTTGTAGTGACTCACATTTATCACGAGAACACGACTGGTTTAATAAAAACAATTATTATTATAGCCAACTGTACCAGTGTTTGTTTTAATGTGCTTTTGTTTGACTGTGCTAATGACAGCTATATTGTGCTTCCATTCTTATTCTTACACTTTGATTGTGACTTCGCGCGAATTCGGTTACATTCTGTAACCAAGCTTGTATCCTGGCACGATCTCGGTATCATTTCGATACCACGAGATCGCCAGCAAATATATATCGACTTGGTCCATTAACTGCCTTCTAATATTTGGCTTCTCGGAGATTTTATGGATTTATTTGGTTACGTTCAACCTTCGCCTTCTGATTTATTTGGCACGTGTTTTTTGGTAGCGGTGTTCATAGTCAATCTCGACTCGACGCCACGCTACAAACTCAAAATTATATATCCGGGAAACTGTGCTTAGTGGGGCGCCCCAAGGTACATTGTTGGGACCAGCCTTACTCCTTTTTTATATAAATGACCTTCCTCGTCTACTATCACAATCGGTCTTTCTATATGCTGATGATGTCAAGATATGGAGAGCAATACGAAGTGAGGGTGATAGCTTAGAACTCCAAAATGACCTGGAAAAATCATCTAAGTGGTTTCAAACCTGTCAGTTGCCGATAAATACTCCCAAGTGTGTTGTGATGCATGTCGGTCATCGAAGCACAGATACGTACGCGATGAATAACACTGAGCTACTTGTTGTCTAGACACACAATGACTTGAGAGTCATCGTTAGTCAAGACTTAAAGACTACTGCACACTGTCGTTCGATAACTGTCATAGGTTTTACAACCCTATGGTTAATACATAGGGCAATTAGTCATGTCGATGCAAAAGCGCTTTTGACTTTGTACACAATATTCGTACGTCCTAAGCTCCAGTACAGCATACAATCGGCTAGCCCTTGCTTAAAAAAGACTGTGCGCTTTTGGAAAAGTTGCAGAGAATAGCAACTAAGTTGATTCCCAGAATAGCGAAGCTCCCGTATGATGCTCCACTGGCCAAGCTAAACCTATTGCAGTTGTCTTATCGAAGAAATAGAGGTGACCTGATATCAGTTTTCAAATTACCTAGTGCTAAATTTGCACCTGATATGCTCTCATTTTTTTGTCTTCCAAAACAGAGAATTTACGAGGACACTCTGAAAACGTTCACAAGCCCAGGACAAATTATTTGACAGCTGACTATCGACTTTCTCATCGAATCACCAACGAGTGGAATTCACTACCTCAGCACGTGGTTAAGGCTTCATCCTTCGACTATTTCAAAAGAAAGTTGAATCAACTGAGAGACCATCAAGCCAAGACTAACACAGGCTATCAAGCCTCTTGTCTGCTCCAAACTGAAAGTTTTTCCTGTCTTTGAAATTTTCAGTCTTCAGTAGTAGGAATAGTAGGTCGATGAACCTGTGTTGATTCTTATAGTTCGTTTTGCAATGAGGGTCCAGCTTTTCCTTGAAAATGTTCACTGATCAGGTTCATACCACTTGTTCGGGTAAGGCGTTCCAGTCACTGACTACTCGATGAGAGAAACGGAACCTCACTGCAAGTTTATTAGATAGTGGTTTTTGAACCTTCTTGATAAGGCCTCGAAGATTATTAGTGATGGAGGGAACAAAAAGATACGATATGATAATAACCAAATTGTAATTGAAAATGCTGATGCCAAACTAAGGTCACCTTGTTTTCTACAATACAATAAGGGGAGAAGGTTTAGGCGTTTCAGGCAGTCATCGTAAGGTAACTTAGAAAGATCTTTTACTGTTTTGTTTTCACGCTCTGAACATGCTCAAGTGAATAAGTATCCATAATAAAACATGGGCCAGCTGCCTGGATGCAGTACTGTATATGTGGTCTTACGTCAGTGGTCTACGAAACTCGGAACATTTCCTCGTCAAAGCGTTCGAATGTTCAACGAAGTAAACATGGCTCACAAAACCCCTTGGCAGCTTCTGCGTTGCAATGCATAGCTGCTTCCAAGTTATATCTTACTATTACCTGCAAGTTTTCCTGTTTCTGCACTCATGGAAGGGATGTACTGCCGATAGTATACTGCTGGTTGTTACTGTGTCCTATGTACATGATTCGTCAAGGTCAGCTTGTATATCAAAATGATCAGCCTCACTTCTCTTTGCTATCATGTTTCCTGTCTCGCGATTTAGAACTATCATTTCCAATACAGATGTAACCCACAACGATGAGTGGATAGTCCATATCTACGATAAGCTACGTTTCTGTGACAACGAATAGATCGGGAGTTAATTCATCCACCATCAAACTTCGCTCGGATGTTTTGTTTCTGAGACTACGAGCGTTTGTTTCGCACACATCTAAAGTGTTTTGAGAATCAATAGTTCCACACATACTTAGGAATCCAATGTTTCCGAGACATGACTGCCCGAAAACTCTGGATCTTAATTATTGTTCCGCCATTTAACCTTCAAGCTCTTAATCTGTAAGAACACATCCATTTGATTCGATCCTCAAGCGGTCAGTCTAGTCAAATACAAATACTGGAATTACGAGTTTTGTATATGTTATTCAGTGAGACATCTCTTTCTTCATAACTCCCGAGCATTAACTTCAATATCCTTCTTGGTTGCGCCTCACCTCCAACGCACCTACCAGCCCATATTACTTTCGCAATATGCACCCCCAAAATCTATTCTGATAGTACATTTCTAATGGGAGTTTCAAATAAGTCCAAATCGCACGTATGCCTTTTACTGGGGTCATTATTTTTTACTTCTTCAAATCCCAAATCATTAAACCAGGGATTGGTTTGACTTCTCTGAAACTTATGTTCATCGCGTCCGATCGTGATACCATATTCTGCTCGTCAACCACTGGGAGCTTATCTCTGGTTGTTCTTGGAACGGAGTCGTGTGAGTTCAGCAAACTACCCACGACGATATTCAGTGGGACCAAAGGTTTTCTAAATACGTAAGGATAAAATTTTGTCTTACCTTCGAACTTCGGCGGAACAGTCTGCAAAGCAGAGTGTGAACCCAGCAAAGACTTGTCGACTAAACGGGCGCTACTTGTCGTTATCCTCAATCCCTTTGTTTCTACACTATCCACCATTTCTCGATAATTGGGGCATCCACATCGAGACTACACTGGGCGGTGACGGTTTTATCCAGATCGTAAGTTGCTGCTGTAGCAACCCGATCACCCTTTAATTGTTTCCAGGCCGATTCTCCTATTGCATGTTGCGCTATAGGGTGCCTGGAATTTCCTGTAACAGCAATAAATTATGTTTTCCTTGTCCAACTCAAGTCTAAAACAATCCGAATCACGTAGCGTTTTTGCCATGCTACCTATAATCACTTAAAAATTGTATTTTTTATACCTAAAACTGTATGAAACGACAACCATATAATTTAGTTAAAATAAAATTGTGCGAACAATGAGCTTTCGTTGAAGTCGCACCTTGCGATTAGTTCCTAACGCGGATTTAACCTTGTCGTATCCTGGTATCATGGCTGCTTTGATGGCTGATAATAGAACTGACGTTAGTATGAATAGGT